GAGATGTCATCATCTAGGCCGAGATGTTATCATCTAGGCATCCAACATCCTTGAACCTTGCACCTAGCGATCATGTTTCAGGACTGGGATGACCTAGACCGAGATGTGGCACATCTAGGCCGAGGTGTGGCACAGCTAGGCCAAGTGTTATCCTTCCTAGCCGAGATCATTGAGATCCTACTTGCTGAAGCCTATGTCTTGACCCGAGGTCCTTACCTTGTTAGAGTGCCCTTGTCACCTTGCTTGTTGTACATACTTTGCCATGCTCTTGCCTTGTCAGTCAGTCACCTTTTGAGGAGAGCCAACCAATCGTTGCCACGTGCCCCAGCAAAGGGTTAAGTCAGCCGGCAGTAGAGAAAACATATCATTTGTTATATCTTTGTCCTAGAAGAGAGAGAAGCTCTAGGAAGAGAGGAAGAAGAGTTCTTAGAGTGAGAATAGATTTCCAAGCTTGATCTTCACACCTTGAACCGTTAGATCCGTGTTTTGAGATTAGATTCTTGATCTACTATTGTTATTCTTTGTGTTGATCCGATCACATTGCATGATCTAGCATGATTCATGAGCCATGCATTGATTTAAAGCTTGTTTTAGAAAGAGAAAATGATGTTCTTGTGTTCTTGAAATAAAACCATATTTTGATCCGAAAGTTTGTAACAAGCTCAATGTTTTTGTGTTTGTTTTCATAAGATCTTTAAGAATGGGTACCCAGGTCCATGTTTTCCAACTCATCTCATGAAATCTTAGATTTTGAATAAAGAAGTTATGATTTTAGCATTGATGTCTTTCATGTTCTTCAAAAAGAAGCCTAGAATTTCCAGACTCTATTTCCCTGAATGTGGTCATCGGGACCATATCTCGGCCTAGAGGTGTGGGACCTCGTCCAAGACCTGGTTGGTACCCAGCATGTTTTCCCGAGATGAGAAACAGTGTTTTAACTCCCAGCACATGTTTTGCTTCGTCTTGACTTAGTTTTGAAAGAAATGCCGAGATCATTTACACTCATGCAAAGCTTGTTTTAAGAATGCATTTCATTTCCATCTTTGAGCATCTCTTCTTGTCTTCTTGAAATGCATTCATTGGGATTTATTATGTACTTGTAGGCCTTGGATCCTTGCTTGTAATCCTCACACCCGAAGAGCTATGTGAGTGGTATTTTTAATAAAGCTATGTTCTAACGTTTGATAAAAGCTTTGCTTGCTTCATTTGGAAAAAATGTTTGTTCAAGCATGAATGATTATCCCTAATTTTTGTATCAAGTATTATGTTCGTTTTGATGACATTCTTGGAAAGTCCTTAGTGCTAGGGGACTATAATGCAACTAGTGCGTTTTTCTTGGAAAGTCCTTAGTGCTAGGGGACTATAATGCAACTAGCACCCTTGTTTGAGATATCTCATTTGTCTTGCCACCGACGGTTTACCATGTGGGTTTGTCTGGAATGTCATCCCTTGTATTATATTAACGCTAGTAAGCATCCCTTGAAGTTTTGAAAGACCTTATAGATGAACTTGATTCATCCCTTGATTTTGTACAAGATATGATATGTATTGTTTTTGATAAAGATCTCGGATATCATTCATTTAAACATTTATTACTAATATCATTCACTGAGTATCCAAGCTCACCATCTCCTTATATATATGTAGGTGACGAGCAAGAAGGCAGTGACGCCTAGATGTGTTTTGCAAGATGTTTTGGGTTCATGTTTTTAGCTAGCGTCTTGAAGATTATGCTTCTTAGCTTGTATTACATGTCTTTTGTATATTTCGGCTTGAGAAGCCTTTTGATCAAGATGTAACATGTACCTTTATTTTATTGTATTCAAGTTGTAAACCATGTTGAAATGTATGTCATTCCATTTAATCTATGCACAACTCTTATGGACTAATTAGATTTAAATATATTGCTTCCGCACATGTAAGCCCCATATGTATACTCTGATTGTGTGTGAATCCTTGTAAGTTGGCCTTCAATAATCTCGGATTACTGGCCATCACGACATTATTCTACTAGGGGCGGAATGGGGTCGTGACAGTAAGAAAGCTAAGAATTATACCTCTTGAAGAGGAGTACTCTTTTGAGTTACAAACCAACAATTTCACACTCTCAAGAGCTAAAATACAACCTCAAACACCTCAGTAAAGAACCCTCAAGGCTTGGTTTAGAGTGTCTAACCAAAGGGTATAAAAGTTGCAAGGGAGAGAGAAATATTTTCAAACTTTTGTTCCAAAATTTTTTCTAACCCTAAATTATGAGAGAGGGTCAAGTATATATAGAAAATTAGGTTTGGCTCTTAGAAATATCAGTATACATATAGCTGGTATCATACATGCACTTGTGGAGACAGCTGGCATAGTTGGCAAAAAAATCTAAAATCTTACACAAGTGGTCGGCATGCCACTAATAATGGGCGGTTGGAGTAACAAGTGGGTTTGCAGGCATAAGTGGTTGGCATGCCACTAAAAGGGGTGGCCGGCCACTAATAGTGGGCGGCTGGAGTCACTAGTGGGTCTGCAGGCACCCAGATAGTCAGACTTAAAAAACTATTGTTTTGGTCCAAAAACAAGGCGCAAAGGTTGTGGTTCTTTTGAGGCTCAAAATTGAGGTTTCCTTTTCCTGCTGAGGAAATCGAGTATTTGGACAAGCGTATGCATTCATCATCGGGTGAGCAATCGGTGTTAACTAAAATGAAAAAAGAACTCTGCAACTTATATTGGGCACTCACTTGCATGCAACCAACTTCACTAGTAACATTTTTAAAACAAAATTAACATTGACATATACTTAATTTATACATGACGGTAATTAACTTAGAGCATGATTAAAAGTAATTTATTATCATAACAAACTAAAATTCTAACTAAATAAGCAAGATAGTTAAGAAGATAAATGCTTAGCAAGTTTGTTTCCTTGTAATCCAATTTAAAACCAATAATAAAAAATAAAAAATAAATACTAAAAACAAAGTTTTAGAAAGTCGAAAACAAAATCCAAGTAAACTTAATTAGTATTTTGACAAATCCAAACCCAATACGAAATTGAAAATATCAAAACCAAAACAATTAGAAGTGGACAGTGAGCTAAAAATTAACATCTCTTTCTCCATTATAACTCAACTAACACCACCACCTCTTGAATCCGAAACGTGTCATCCCTACTATTATTTCCTACCTAGGCAATAACAACTCGTGTGTTAAATTTGCAAAGAAGATGACCTTGAGGTCTCGTTTGGGAATAAGTTATTTTAGTAATTTTTTGACTTTTTGACTAAAATATAAGGTAAAAAAAAATTAGTATGTTTGGAATGACATTTTGGTTTTTTACAAAAATATGTGCAAAATGTAGAGAGAAGAGAATCTTTGACTTTTTAATATAAGTTATAGGCTTTTTGGTTTTTTTAATTTTTAGACTAAAATTGTTGCATGCCAAATGAGGCTTGAGTTGGGTTTTGATCAACCTGGTTGCCTAAAGGACGATGAACTTCTCTAGTTATCTCAGTGCCCCTTTTCTATTTTTAGCACTATTATCACTACACATTCTTCTTCTTTCCAAGCTGGCATCCATATCTTCATTTTTCTCTTATAGCTCTACCTCATCTTTCCTACTCTAGTATTGTAATCCCTACTCACTTTTCATGTCTTAGATCCAAGAATCTTCTTGCGAATTTTGTTTGTATGTGTGTGAATTTAGATGAATCAATTGCACCTTTTTTATTTCTCAATTATTTTAAGATTTTATTTTTTATCGATTAAAAAAATATTGATAGAGTGAAATTTAAACATTTCAAGAAATATATCCGTGCCTTATTAGTGTGAACCAACTGAAACATTTAAAGAACTACTAATTTACAAACAGTGCGGTGTTTGGTGCCCATTTTTTGAGACAGATTATGGATTCTAGCTTAAGAAAGTTATTTTAGACTATTTGGTATAAATTTTCAGTGTTAGTTTTTGTTTTTTTTCAGTTTTTTGTAGCCTATGTTAATCTGTTTCTCAAAAGTAATGAAACGTCGTTTCTGCTTCTTGGATTATGCGGTGGAGTATCATTTTTACTTAAATATCCATAATCTTTCTACATATTTACTATTATGCCACTATATATACTTATAACTCATCGAAATTTTGTCTCACTCAACGAGAGATGGCAATTTTAGGCTAGGGTTTTGGTAAGGGTTCTGCTCTGTTTCTACTCTGGCTATGGTGGATCGTGCTTTGTTCGGTGTTCTAGATCTAGTTTGCTCTAGCAAGGTTCTCTCTCTCTCTCTTTCTCTCTCTCTCTCTTATTCTCTTAAAGCTGTCTCTTGGCGATCGCAAAGATCAATCCATGGCCAAAAAATGAGGTGGTCTGGATATGGTCTACTCCAGCGAGGTTTATTCTCTCTCTCTCTCTCTCTCTCTCTCTCATCCTCTTGGAGCCATCTCTTAGTGATGGCGAAGGTTAGTTCATGGTTGAGAAAAAGGTCCGGCTACGAAGAATAGTCCATCATCACAACCTTGATTGCTATCACGAAGATCAGTTCAATGTCGGCGATGGCGATGGCGATGGCGATGGCGATGGCGATGGCGATCAGTCCGACGAGCTCCTTGATTGGGTCAAGATCTAACAAAAAAATAATAATTTAGACATGGGTAAAAAAGATATTTACATAGTAAAAAGCTACATTATAGAATATTTAACAAACACTACTCAACAATCTAAATTTATAATATAATATTTATACAAAACAGATGAACCACTTTTGATTAAATTTAAAATCTATAATCTATTAAGTTATAAGTTACAATCTACGTTAACAATTATACCAAACATGGCCAGTGCCTTATTAGTGTGAACCAATTCTGTTGATTTGTAATTAAACGAAAACCATGGGGTACATTATATTTTTTTCAAAACTTTTAATTTAAACATAATTTATTTCTTTATTTATTTTATTCATTCATTACTCAAATCACCTTTGGCATATATACCCCAGGTTGGCCATTCTCTGAAACTCCGATTCAAATTCAGCCCCTCTCAAACCCTTCCAACGGCTACATTTCTCTCTCTCTCTCTCTCTCTCTCTCTCTATTCCTCAACTCTTTCTCTCGCTGCCTTGGCTCTTCAATTGGCTGATCCAACCCTACTCTCTCTCTCTCTACTTTCTCTCTCTAGACTCTTGCAAACGATGAAGCACTTTATGCAACCAAGAAATGCGATCTTGAGAGAGAACCACCCGTCTTCGGAATCCGCAACGTCTCCGAACCCTAGTTCTGTGAAGCAGAGATCTGCTTCTTCTTCTTCTCGCAAGCATAAATCGTCGAAAGAGAACGCTCCGCCGTTGGATCCGAATGCAATGCTGGATTCTCCGTTGGTCGCCGGAAAACCATCGCCGGCGGCAGTAGGGAAGATCAAGAGTCCGCTTCCGCCGAGGCCACCGTCTTCGAACCCTCTGAAGCGGAAGTTAAGCATCGAGTCCATCCCCGAGAACGGACTTCCTGGATCTTCTGATACTGGAGTAAAGGTAGTGTTTCTTTCAAACCCTACTAATTTTGAAAGCTTTTTGTCTTGAATTTTGTTTACAGTTCGGTTAAAATTAGGAAAATGAATTCAAATTTTGAATTTTAGGTCATCTCCAACCCTTACTCAAAATTTTACTCAAATTTGAGTAGAAGCTTTATATGGTATGAGCCACTCTATTGGCCAAACTTTGATTTGATCATAAATTTGACTAAAAGTTTCACTGTTGGCAGAGTGTTAAATTTGAGAATTACAAAATTACTTTGAAAATTTTGAGTAAACATTTGAGTTTCTTTGATTTGGATAAAAAATTGAGTAAAACTCAATTTGGTATAAGTTTGGGGGAAGCAGTGGAGGGTGTTTTGAGTAATTTTTACCCAAATTTAAATTTGATTTCGGTTTGAGTCAAGGATTGGAGATGCCCTTATGCTCTATGTTATTCATGCTGAAAATCTAAATTTTTATGCTTTTGAATTTTTGTTACCTTTGTTTGATTCCCAAGAATAAGTTGGAAAAACAAAAGAAAACAAAATTCTGAATCTTATTTGTTTAGTGTAATTGTTACTAGTGTTTGAAGTGCCTGACGATTAAAATCGTTGGATTCATAATTTTTGTTTCTTGTTCTTTTGGTGTTTTCTGGGCAACCAACCATTAATTAAACAATCTTTTCTGATTCTTGTTGTAATTGTTACATAAATTAGGTTATAGTGCGAATGCGGCCACCAAGTAAGGACGAGGAAGAAGGAGATTTGATAGTTCAGAAAACAGCTAATGATTCTTTGTCCATCCTTGGACAGACATTTACATTTGATTCTGTTGCTGACACTAATTCAACACAGGCAAGACCTAATTTTTTTTTTTTTTGATAATTTTTCTGTGAGCTAGCGAATACATTTATGTCTAATAAAACACTTGAAATTTTCCTTTTAATTATGTACTTTTCAGCTAGATATATTCCAGCTTGTTGGAGCTCCTCTTGTTGAAAATTGCCTTGCCGGGTTTAACAGCTCTGTTTTTGCATATGGACAGGTATCTTCTGTTTAATTTTCCTTAAATTTTTGTACAGACACGTATGCACACGACCAAGAATAATACATTTTTCCACTGGGAAAGGTGCTATTTATATTTATTCCAGAATTTCAAATTTAATTGTTTTAGACTGGTAGCGGAAAGACTTATACAATGTGGGGACCTGCCAATGCCTTGTTGGGAGAAAACCTATCAAGTGATCAACAGGGCTTAACGCCTCTTGTTTTTGAGCGACTTTTTGCCCGCATAGATGAGGTGTGGCTCTATGCTCTTCATTTCTAACTCATTGATGGTAACATTAAATAGTATTTTTATAATTTTTGTGCTTTCACTTTTATTTTTTTGTAGGAGCAAATTAAGCATGCTGATAAGCAGCAACTAATGTATCAGTGTCGCTGTTCTTTTCTTGAGGTTAAGTTCTTTGCATAAATTGGACATAATTAGGTTAATTACTTGATCCACTTAATCCTTTAATTTTTTTATTTTTATTTTTATTTTTTATGTACAGATATACAATGAACAAATCACTGATTTGTTGGATCCGAGCCAAAGAAACCTCCAGGTAAAGTGTTAGTTATTTCACTTATTTTGTTTGATTTTGTTCCATGGTTATATGTTTGCTTAAGTTTCCATTGGGTTTCCTTTATAGATAAGAGAAGATGTCAAATCTGGTGTCTATGTTGAGAATTTGACAGAGGAGTGTGTATCTACAATGAAGGATGTAACACAACTTCTAATAAAGGTTAGTGTAATCTTTCTGCCTCTGTCATGTTGCATAATATACAGAATTTTCTGGGGAGAATCATTTGAACTGTAGCGTCGTAATAGATTGCTTTTCTTGATAGCTCAGGCCCTGGTTGGTGGGTATACTTAAAAATTTATCAAAGGTGAAATGTTGAAATGCAATAACCTATATATTTTTTTTGGCTACTGTTTGTAGCTGTTTTGAATTGATTTAAGATGATCTATTGGACTAGATTTAGATATGATTTCTTTTAATTTGACAAATCTATTCAAATATGATGTCTTTATTCTTGTATTTATATTTTATTTGATTTTTTTTTTTTTTTTTTTTTTTGGGGGGGGGGGGCGGGGGGATGTTTTACATATTGCAATTTGCAAGTTTTCGACTAAATAATGTTTTTAGACATGATGTTCATAATTGCTAGGTAAATGATGCAGGGATTATCAAACAGGAGGACTGGTGCAACAAGTATAAATGCTGAGAGTTCCCGTTCACATAGTGTATTTACTTGTGTTGTTGAATCACGATACAAGGTAATAGACATTTTATTTTTTTATACCACTTTGCTACTGAAATGTTTGGTTGGTTTGTGGTTTAGAAGTTTCTTAGAGGGTATAAAAAATTGGATTATGATATTACATAGACATCCCTTACTAACTTGATGGCAATCTTTTGGATATGATGTCTTTCTTTTATTTTATTTTTCCATATTTATGCACGCTAAATGCCGCCTAAACTAAAATTTTCAAATTTTATAGAGTGTGGCAAACGGTTTAAGCTGCTTCAAATCAAGCAGAATAAACCTCGTTGATCTTGCTGGTTCAGAAAGACAGAAATTAACAGGTGCAGCTGGTGAACGCTTGAAGGAAGCGGGGAATATCAATCGATCGCTTTCACAGCTTGGGTATGGGGTTTTGTATTATCTTAGAATATGCGAAGTTTCTTGAGCATGATAAATAAGTAGAAATGGTCATATTAGAAATTCAATGCGTGAATGATGTTAATCTTGTTATGAATAACATTACAGTCATTACATATAGCATTGTAATTGTAAATACTATAAACACACAACACAACAGGCCTATGAAGCATGGACATAGACACGTGACATGACACATAGACATGCAAATATGCAAATTCTCATAAAAATGCAGGACACGACATGCAAGAGAGACACACAAAAATATATAAATATATATTTATTACATGTTATATATTTGACTGTTTCATCCAAACATAATGAAATAATGCGACCTAACACTAACTAAAATTGAATAACCACATATTCTGTAACATAACAATCACAGTTACAACTATAAACACAGAAGGGTATCTTATAAGTTATACATAAAAATAAAAGTCGAGAAATTTTGTGTCATTGAATTAACATTCTTTCAATTAGAAGTCAAGTTTACTACTCAAAAAAAAAAAAAAAAAACCTTTGAACCCCACTTAAATGTTTTAAAATTTAGTTTTGACCCTCGAGCTTGTCCCCAACATGTCTCCAGCATGTCCGTAGTGTGTTCGAGCAAAAAAATTGGAAGACTCCAATTCGCATGTCTGATGCTTGTCCATTGCATGTTTAGTGCATGTCCGTGTTTGACAAGTGTCGGAAGCGGTGTATGTATTCCATAGCTTGCTTATGCATAGAGTGTGTGTGGTTGTGAATGCAACTTCTTATTTAAAAAAAAAAAAAAACAAAAAAACAAAAAAATTCGCTTTGCTAGAATACACAATTTTGTATTTGGAGATGATCACAATTGTGTGACAGTTGTTCTTTGATGATCCATCATCCCTCATGGGTGTACTACTAGCTGCAATGTGTTGGTTTTGAACTTCAATGTGTTGAAATTCTAGATCAATGTTGGAGGTCAAAAGATTAGGGCCTGTTTGGTTGTGTTTTCATTTTTAATTTTCTGTTTTTATTTTCCAGAAAAACACAGAAAACTTGTTTGGCGAGCTTGTTTGTAAAAATTGCTTTTGCCTTTTGGGAAATTTTTTCTGAAAACATCCCACTTTTTAGGAAACATCAAACATTGTTTTCGAATAAAAATGAAAATGACGAGTATTTTCAAACTTTTCATTGTTTTGTTTAGAAAATATGAAAAGCAAAAATGAAATATGAAAACTGAGAAAATGAAAACACAATCAAACAGGCTCTCTAGTGGCAGTTCTTGAATAATTGACAAAACTTTTCTTCTGTTTTCTGATAAATTAAGGTCTTAGAGATGCAAATTGCACAAGCATATATAATAGTAAAAAAAAGTATACTGTGAGGTTTATATTTTTTCCATGGTGTGTAGATGGAGTGATGTAACTATCTATTTGTGAATAGAATGTGTTTTCTTGGTCAAGGATGAAGGTATAGTTTTAATGTAACCTGGCTTTTACATAGATGTTCTGGGGGCTGTCATATTGGTCCCACTGTACAAAATAAGGTAGCAGCATGACTCTTAGTCGGATGGAAGTTATCAAACTTCTTGTAGCTTAGCAGTCCTGTCAAGATGAAAAATTAATCTTGTGGATTGTATTCATGTCGGTACATACATGATAAGGAGGTAGCAACAAAGCTGTCTTCCTTCAGATTTAGTTAGTTCTTTTGATGGTTGCCCTGAAGGAAGAGTTCATCAGGGAAGTTGTGCAGGTAAATCTACCGAATAATGTAGGAAGGAGAAATTCTGTTATGCTCGGTATTTTTGCTGGAGATCTTTCTTTGGTTAATAATCAGAGATCTTTCTGTAGTTTAAAAAATTTATTTCCCATTGGATTAAATGATGAGCATTTAAGGTAAATACAGATGGCATTATGTGGAGGAAAGTGCTAAAGGATATTAAAGCTGTGTATTCCTGAGAAAAAAAAACCTTAAATATGCTGCAAGGGAAATTAAGGTGCTGTTTGGTGTAGCATTTCAGAAGACCCTTAGCTTTCTTTTCGAAGCAAAAACCATTTTACATTGATAGGTAGGAGAAGCACTGGTCGTATATTCTCAAAGCTGAAAAGTAGCACTTTGCAGTTAATTTTAGAAGGCTATATCATATTGTTTGGAACACAGGCTAGCATTTCACTGAAACAACTGTAGAAAAAAAGAGGCCTTCTCTGTCTAGTACAAGATTTCTTGTTATGAAAGATGTTCTGAGAAATACTCTTGGTCTTTGTTAATGTGTATTCTGATGTCAACTTGTTAATGATCCCAAAAAGAGGTGATGCATGTAAAATTAATATATAGAAGTTTTGTTCTGAACTAGCTAGTATCAAGATACAGTGATTTGTCTGGTGTACTGATTGCCATTATCTATGAGCTTTGCAGGAACTTGATAAACATTCTTGCAGAAGTTTCCCAAACAGGAAAGCAGAGGCACATTCCCTACAGAGATTCCAGGTTAACATTCTTATTGCAGGAATCTCTTGGTGGAAATGCAAAACTTGCAATGGTCTGTGCTATTTCTCCTACGCAAAGGTGATGCGTTGCCCACTTTCTCACTGTCTTTCTATCTATCTATCTATCTATCTATCTATCTATCAAGCTAGCTAGCTATCTATTATGTGGAAATTGATGTGGATTAACAATGCAGCTGTAAGAGTGAGACTTTAAGCACACTGAGATTTGCCCAGCGTGCAAAGGCTATCAAGAACAAGGCAGTCGTTAATGAAGTAATGCAGGATGATGTAAATTTCTTGCGTGAAGTGATACGGCAATTGAAGGTATATTCTACATGCTTTATTTTTGGTTTAATTTTCCATTTTTAGTGGTAGATCCGTTGCCAGTTGCATCAAGCATTTGAAGACTTACTAGATGTTTTTGACAGGATGAACTGCTTCGCATGAAGGCAAATGGCAACCAAACTGACCCAAATGGAGGTTATTCAACAGGGTGGAATGCCCGTAGAAGCTTAAATCTCTTGAAATTTAGCCTTAATCGTCCAATGACGTTACCTCACATAGATGATGACAGTGATGAAGAAATGGAAATTATTGAGGATGCTGATCAATTTGGTGTTCAGTCAGAAGACAGTGAAGCAAACAATGCCATGGATGTGAGCAATCAAGAAACTGAACAGTTGGACTCACAACATACAGCCTGCAAAGAAGGAACTTCTGGGGAGCCTCAGCCAGATACATCTGAAAGTTCTTGTATTGAAAATCAAGGCTCGAAGGACATAGATGTCATTATGGAGGAAGAAATATCTGACCAAGTTGACAAGCATGGTGAAGGAAGTGACAAAGATTCTTTTGGGAAGCCCTGTCAGGAGTCTCTCACCTCATCTATTAGTAATTTGCTGAATGAAGAATCACCAAGTAAGCCAGTGGGGAATAGTCCCACACACCTATGTTCGAAGCCAGCAGGTCAAACTTCTGCAGATAATGCAGTAAAAGGTGTGTCTGGTACTTCTCCAAATGGCTGTGACAATCATATTGCTCCTTCTAACCTCAGCCTAGTTCCATGTGAAATACCCCCAATTCTTAAGTCACCCACACCCAGTGTTTCACCAAGAGTTAATGACAACAGCAGGAAAAGCCTTAGGAATTCATCCGTATTAACTCCTTCCCGGAAAGATCTCAGGGATGATGAGTTAGGCTCAGAGGCTGTACATATATCTTTTGCAAAGGCCTCAAAAAGCAGCTGTCTGAATTCTCAGTCGACAAAATCAAGTAGAAGTGGTTTTCCACCAACTGAATATTTGGCTGCTAGTCTGCACCGTGGTCTTGAAATTATCGATAGTCATCGACAGAGTTCTGCTTTGAGGCGTTCATCATTCAGATTTTCATATAAACCTGCTGATATTAAGCCAATTTTACCAATTGACAAAGTTGATGTGGGTGTACAAACTCTTCCTCAAAATGAGTTACCAGAAGAGGATTTATTGGTGTTCTTGTGTAGTAAATGCAAGAGTGGAAATTCTCCGCAAGAGATCAAAGATGCGAATGACACTTCAAATTTGCAGTTAGTACCTGTGGATGGATTACCGTCGGTGGACAAATCTAAGAAGCTAGTTCCGAAAGTATGTCTGAAGGCATCTATAGGAATGTTAGTACTTGTGTTTGTTCTTCATTGTTCCTGTGCATGATGGTTTGACATTTGTATTATCCTGCAGGCAGTAAAAAAAGTCTTGGTGGGAGCTATTCGTAGAGAGATGGCATTAGAAGAGTTTAGTGCCAAACAAACTTCTGAAATTATGCAACTTAATCGTTTGGTAGGTTTCATTCAAGTTCGGAAGCAGCCAACTAGAACCATTATGCAACCTTTCTTTCTATTTGATCTCTTCTGGCCATTACAGGTCCAACAGTACAAGCATGAGAGGGAATGCAATGAGATTATTGGACAGACACGGGAAGATAAAATTGTACGCCTTGAGAGCCTGATGGATGGCATTTTAACTACCGAGGAGTTCAGAGAGGATGAGTTAGTATCACTAAAGATTGAGCATGAGGTATGCATTTTCTTTTTCAGTTTGACAGCCAATATTTTGATATTTTAAGGCCAGTAATTTTTCTATTTTTATTTTATTCATCCATCGCCCATCTTGTTTTTATAGCTTCTGAAGGAAAAATATGAAAACCATCCAGAAGTTTTGAGGACAAAAATTGAGTTAAAAAGAGTTCAAGATGAGCTGGAGCAATACAAGAACTTCTTTCATATGGGCGAGAAGGACGTGTTGTTGGAAGAGATTCAAGATCTAAGAAACCAGCTGCATTATTATATAGACTCTGCACCAATGTCAGCTCGAAAACAAGGTCCTATCCTGCAGTTAACCTATTCAAGCGAGCCCAGTGTGGCTCCAACTTTGTGCACAATTCCAGAGTCAACTGAAGAGAGTGCTGAACAGAAACTTGAACAGGAGAGAATTCGTTGGATGGAAGTAGAGAGCAAGTGGAATTATATTGCTGAAGAATTGAAGATTGACCTTGAAGCTAGCCGTTCTCTAGCTGAGAAGTGGAAGCATGAACTGGATTTGGAGAAGAAATGCTCAGAAGAGCTGAAGGAAGCAATACAGATGGCAATGGAGGGCCATGCACGCATGCTTGAACAGTATGCAGATCTTGAGGAGAAACATATTCATTTGCTTATGAGGCATAGGAACATTCAAGATGGAATAGAAGATGTCAAGAAAGCAGCTGCCAAAGCAGGAGTGAGGGGTGCTGAATCTAAGTTTATAAATGCTCTTGCTGCAGAAATCTCAGCACTAAAAGTGGAAAGAGAAAAAGAGAGGCGATATTTCAGGGATGAGAATAAAGGTTTGCAGGCCCAACTGAGGGATACTGCTGAGGCTGTGCAGGCTGCTGGTGAACTACTTGTGCGTCTTAAAGAAGCAGAAGAAGCTGTTGCTGCTACCCAGGTGAGTTTGGAATTAGCTGCGTTTCTTTTCTCTGTTGATATTCACAATTTTCTTCGTTCATGTATGTTCATATGCTTTCTTGTACTTTTTCTATGTTTGTTTCTCATTTCTTTTCTATATTTTACTTCGGATGATTTAAAATTTTATTCACTATGATCATGAAAAAGAATATTTGGATGGCTTGGAGATGATTAAAAATATGTGTTAAGTCATTTTCTCTGCATTCTGTGATGCATTGACTGCATAATCTGTTGCTAGCAAACTGATAAATGATACGGTGGGTTCATAGGCTGAATATCAAACTGATATGGATGGTGGGTTTTATAGGAGTATCACCGAGAAAGTCAAATAGTAGTTATTAAATCTTTTATTTTCTTGTCCGGGAGAATTGATAGATCTCAGGTGCCCACACCATTATCATCAATATGTGCCTTTGTTAATATAAATTCTGATTAATCTGTCAAAAGCACTTCCTTTACATGTTTGTTACATGGACATATTTGTTTATGGATACATTGACAGCTTTTTAATTTTTTTTATATAAATATTATTGTTTTCAGATATTTTAACCTATCTACATTCAATTGGCTTGAGTTGATATTTTGTAAACAAAGTTATATCCACGTGAGCTGGTTATACTCACACATGGTTTGATTTAAAAAAAGCATGTAGATGTTAGTGAATTCCTTGTATCAAAGTTTTCAGGGGAAATATCAGCTGATATTACGAGTAGTACCATAATTCAAGTGTTGAAGCATATCCTTCTAATTAGCCAGACATTTTGATATTCTCAGTGTACCATTTCCCTATCCTGATGATGTTAATGCTGATCCTGCCGACAATATTTTCATTTCCTTACCCTTTTAGTTGTTTATATTGAATCATGTTCTGATTTAATATTTTTTCAATTTAAATGACTTTAAACTCCGTCTAACAAAATGCCAGTAAGATTCGTGTTCCCCCCCCTCTATCTCTCTACATGTTATATGCCCCCCCCTCTATCTCTCTACATGTTATATGCTTTCTGTTATATAAAATATGCTTTGTATTGATATTTTCGTAGTTTTGAGGACTCTTTTTTTAATTTATTAAATGGATATTAACAGACTTGCAACATTTTATAAAATGACCAAATTAATCGAACTCCTAATCTTCTTTTCAGTGGCCACAATATGTTTTTATATTTTTTTAAAGAGTTCTCGTGTTCATTTTAAACCCTTGGAGCCATTAGACCTACATAGCATCTTAGCCATCTATAATTTAATTAATATACTGAAGCTTGAAAATTCTCACTCGCTTAGTGGACAGACTTGCTAGTATATTTTACTTTGACCCCAAACCAGCCTTTCAAAACTCAAAAAAAAGCTATAAAGGTGTCTTGAGGCGTGTCCATAGACATGGATGGACATGCATGTACATGAATTTTCCCCCAACTGGTCCTGCAAAAAAATAATAATAAAAAATTGACCTGCTACATGGTTTGTTCGACACATTGACATGCATGTCCACACCATAGTGTGGTACACGAGCACGGCATCTATTTTGGATTGTCCATGCTTGCTAGCTTGCATGTGATACACTGTGAGCTTGCATGTGATACACTCTGAGCAATCAAAGTTGATGTACTCATTTGCTTCAAATATGTTTTGGGATTGTTTATTTATTTCTTTCAATGGACCACGTTTATCAATTGTGATGTCTTAATTGTGCCATCATTCCTAGTAATTTGAAACATGGAACCATAATTTTTTCACCAATAGTTGTGATTCCCAACACTTAATGGTCCATCTGATTTGTTGATTTTGCGTATCCAAAAATATAGAAATAAATAAACATGTTTAACTGATTCGTCAATTTCAAAAAATTGCAGAAGCAAGCTATGGATGCTGAACAAGAAACTGAGAAAGCTTATAAACAGATTGATAAAATGAAGAAAAAATATGAGAAGGATATCATTTCATTGAACCAGTTACTTGCTGAGTCTCGTTTGCCTAAAGAAGCAATAAGACCCGCTTGTGATGACTCTGATGCAGTGAAATCTGATGCTGGAGAGACCACTAATACAGGTGATCAGCGATGGCGAGGTGAGTTTGAGGCATTATGTAATGTCGAAGAAGGTGAATTATCAAAACTTGCAGAACCCTCTTCTTGGTTCTCAGGGTATGATCGATGCAACATATAGACAAGACAGGACATGGTAATGGCATACTAGTGTATATTGTATATACACTATACTAACAGATTCTGTTACATAGCCCTGAATCATCTTGTAGCAGTTTTTTTTACTGGTATTTTAGTTGTTCTCACCAATTGTAAGGACCAATGTATTGGTTCTCTGTGTGTGCCCTGTATTCATTTTGGATTCTTGAATCATAAAAGTTGAATGAATGAATCAATGTTTGTATTCTTTTATTGACTCTAAATGTCTCAAAATACCTATGACTGATTTTTTTTTTTTTTTAATCTCACTGAAGCTTCATCTATTTTACGAAAGCATCCACACAAACACACTCAATAAATAATACAAGCATAGTACATGCTATTTGGACCAGCTACATTCTTTTTTTAGTGTTCTGCCTTATCCAAAAGGCTTAGTTTCAGTTGTGCCACACATTTGTGCTTTGCTATCTGTGCAAGAATGTGGCACCGTGACAAAGGAAACAAAATTTTGCTAATTTGCTCCGAAACAGAGCTTTCGGGAGCTTGGATGGTAAAAGGGTTAACATGGAAGTTCTATTACGGTGTAATTTTTCCCGAGGTTTCATGTTCGACTATTAGGAGGGCAAAAACACTTAACACTTAATCAAGTGTGCTTCGTTTGCAGGGGATGCATATTCGGATTTATTCACAAGACCTTGACTGGATGATAGGGTGGGCCGGTGGTTAGAGTGTTTTTTATCGTCTATTATATTATAAGGCCTTGATTGGATGAAAGGTTATGAATGTTGTCATGCTTTTTATTTTTTTAATAATGTTTTTTATTTATTTAGGAACTGTCGTATTTAATAACTCTTAGAATGATTTTTTCTTTCATCAAACTATCTAAAAATTTAAATATAAAATTACAAACGTATCACATTTGCACCTATCCTAATTAAGAAGAAAAAAAAAAAAATGGGATGGTTATCGATAGGGGTGGACCCTGCCTTGTGGAGACAATGGGTCTGCAAAAAGATCTTCAAAAACAAGTGAAGTATGTTCACAAGCTTAGATCATTTATTTGTTTGGTTATTGTTAAGTGGATAGGGGGCAATCTGGAAGTGGGATCAGAGAAGTATGTCCGTTGCCTTCTTTTTAACTTCATGTTGTAGCAAGGAAGGAGAGTCTATTATTTCATGGAGACCATAAAACAAATAGCTTGTGGCCTTGTCTTCTATGTCATGTATCTTTACTTTGTGAGGACCACTTCCCTCTCTCTCTCCCTCCTCCAAGGAGGGCCATTTTTAACAGGAGATGATATGGAAAGAACCAAGTAGGGGCACTCCACCCCAGCCATTCATTATCCAATTGGAATGAAAAAGAAAACCAATGGTTTCACAATTTAATGGAGAGAATGGGTTTGACAGTGACATCAATATAGTACCATTGTTTGGTAAATTTTAATTTGTGTTTGGATTATAAATTTAGATAGAGATTTAGAGAGAGAGATATGAATAATGTAAATAAAATATAAGTTAAATTTTTTTTCCATTTTCCTTCTCATTTCTCTTCTAGATGCAAACAGAGTGTAAATGGTAGATCCAAACACAGTGTAAATGGTAGCTGATCCACTTAGGAAGAAACCAAGTGGACGATGGAATTAAAATAAAATAATTGAGCCTGCAGACTTTTCTTCATTTTGAACTGTATCTTGTTAGGGGTTTTGGAAAGCAGCAATGATTCAGACCATTAATTTTGATATTTTAATAGAGCATTAATGATATGGTAATGAACAAAAAAAAATAAAATAAAAACAAAACAAGATCAAAACATCACATCATTGTGGATAGAGTCTACTATTAACTCATTAGAGCTACCTTTAAAGCTCAAAAATTAGAGTTCCAAAGCATTTTTCTTTGAAAAGTTGGTAAAAAATTAGTTTTTTTAATGACTTTTTTATGTAAAAAAATTAAAAAATCAAAAAATTAATTTTTTTAACTTGTTGCCAAAAGACTCCAAACTCTGCATTGCGGTTAATTTTTGCATGACTGTGGCTGGAAGGTTATTGATTCTCCAAACAGTACTCTCAAGTGTTGGGACACTCTTACAGTCTGTTTGGATTGAGTGATTTAGTAGGAAATGACAAACGAAACAACGTAACATTTGCTTGGGTAGAAAAATATTTAAAAAAAAATATTTTCCATAGTTTTTGCCATTTGGTACATTAGAAAATAAAAGTTAATGAAAAATATTTTTCATAGTCAATAGAAAACAAGCTTATATTGGTAGAAGATATTTTCTACTTTTAAAAAGCGAAAAATATTTTTCAGACTAAAATTTTATCAATGTCACCGCACTATCATCACTACTCTCACATCCACCACCACGCTACCATCACCATGGCCACAACCACTATCACCATCGTTATTGCAGCCACCGCCTCCCCACCACCATGCCATTACCTCCACCTCCACCTCCACCTTCGTTCCACCATCGCCAACACCAAACACAAAAAAAAAAAAAAAAAAAAAATTCTCCAGAAAACATTTTCTGGAAAAAAAAAATTATGTCCAAACAAACAGAGTGTAAGGAGAAAGAGAACTCTTTTCATGTTTGGTTTATTCATTAGATAAGAAAATGACGAGGAAAAGATACACCAAGATTTTCTCAACTATTAATGAATAATATCACTTTACCCTCTCTCATTTATGAAGTCGTATATATTAATCCTCTCAACTATTAAAATCGTATAAATACACCATTTTTGGAGGTAGAGGGATGAAAAAGTACACTTTTATAGTTGAGGGGGTCAGAATATACGAATTCATAAATGATGGGGATAAAGTGATATTTATTAATAGTTGAGAGGGTCTCAGAGTAATTAATCCTTTATAAAAATAATGAGATGGGATTTAAAAACTCATATTTGTTTTAGAAAGTGGTCATGGTATTAACAGTCCTATGGGATCATGAAAGCCCTCTAATGAGGGCATTAGCAATCCCATGAGAGATGTGGTATTGATATCTAATCCCATGAGATTGGAGGTAAAAATACTGTTTTGCCCCATATTTTATAAAAATAAGAGTGCTCAGGCCAAAAGTCCACAATTAAATTTTTTTTGTCCAAAGGTCCGAGTGTTGAAACATTATGTCCATAAGGATAAGATTTTGCCAAATGACCAAACTACCCTCTTATATATATATATAATATCACACTCGGTTGTTTTCAAACCAAACATTCTCAAACCGGCTCTCTCTCTCTCTCTCTGTCTCCTCTTCTCTCTTTCTCTCTCTCTCACACGCATTTTTTTGGATTTCTATCGCATCTCTCTTCACAACTTAGATCTCTCTGTGATGTCCCGGGTTTTGGGGCTTGCATAGTATTGTGTAGTTGAGTAGTATGCACTTCTTTCAATGTTTTGTTCATCGTTTTGAGTCGTTGAAATTTCTTTATACTCTTACTTAACCTCTCTTAACTTTTCTAGGTTGAAAACTTTGAGTTTTGGGCATTGGAACTTGTCTTGGTTTGCAAAATCATTTTCTGAGTTTCTAGGCAAAACCGCTCGTGCGGAATTCGAATCCACCCGAGTGAATCCTCACAAAGTTTTTCAAAATTTTCAGTGTTTTCTGGGCAGAAAATTGCTCGAGCGGATTTTGGGTCCTGCTCGAGCAAATTCTGGTGGTATTTTCTAGGCAACTCTCTGCAGCAATCCGCCCTTGAGGCTAAAATTTTCGCTCGTGTGGATTGGGCATTCTGCTCGTGCGGAATTCAAACCGCTCAAGAAGATTTCGGCGCGTCTGTCTTGATTTTCGTGCTCTTTTCCTCAAAACTAATGCTAAGAGTGTTTTTGGCTCAGATTTTCTCTTCTCTTTCTTCTCTATATCCATCTACGTTTATAACCGATTGGATCGTGTTTTTGTTGACGTTGATTTCTAGGGTTTTCATCCTTTTCATCTTCCAAGCTTGAGGTAGGAATAATCTTTGAGTTATATATACATTTTTACAAGTTATACATGTTTTGAGTTATGATTTTAGGTTTTTGAACCCTAGATGATGTTTGGAGTTGATTTCATCTAGAGTATGTTATGATGTTTGAACCCTAGATGATTTTGGGTTATTGAACCCTAGAATATGAGTATGTTATAAGGTGTAGGTGTTGTTTTGAAAAAATCTTTGCGAAAATGGAACAAAAAGCTTGTTTTGATGAAAATCCTAGAATTTGGAGATTTTGGAAAAAAAAATTGTGAGATTGGCAAATTGATGCTTGATAATTTACCATGTGAGTAAATGATGGAGGAAATTCTGTAGTTGTATCAAATGAAGAGATTCATGAGAAAACGAGGAATTGTAGAATTGGAAAGCCTGAGTGATAGCTTCTTGTTGTTATTTTGGTAAGACCAAATGCTAAAAATGATGTTTTATATGTAGAGAATACATGAATGTTAATATTGTTATATTGTCTCTTCGAAATAAATATTATGATGTTATATTGATACGAGATGTGAAAATTGATTACAATGGAGGATTATGTGGATGAATTGAGAAGTTTAGAAATTTCAATGGCATTGATATAGAAATATATTGCATAGGCACTTGATTTAATTATCACCACTTTTCGAATTGGTATTGCTGAGACATTTAAATGAAACTTTATTATTGCATTGGACATTTGCATCGCCATACCATTTTGTCATTTATGTAATGGATTTTGAATATTGCATTGGAAAAATGTATTGTTTTGAGAAAGGAAATTGTTTTGTGAAACAAGATCATATTGATTTGTTTTTGGGGTGAATACGGTGGAAAATCCTGTTAGGCGGTGTAGTTTGAGAATTAAGTTAGCCTGAGTGTCTTTAGTGTAAGTGTCACGACCCAAACTCGCCCCTATGGGTTTAGCACCATAACCGGCCAGTAATCCGAGATTACCGAAGGCCTGCTTAACAGTAAAACAATAATACAGAGTATAGGGGCTGGTGGAAGCCAAAACAGTAATTAAAAGATGTCCAATGAGCTGTGACAGCCTGTATGCAAAAAGACTTTTCATACATATACACATTCAGAACAAAAACAGTATATACATACATCATATACAATTATTCAGGTTAGGGACCAAGTCCCTACCGTAACAGTACAGTACGAATATCATTCAGTCTATACAGTCGATATAAAACAGAGACAAAAGAGGGGGAATCTAAAACACCTCGAAGCAGCCTTAGATTGGCAGCACTTGGAACCTCAAGGTGAGGCACGATGGTTGGCTTGACAAAACAAGAGCT